AATTCTTCCCAATCTTCCTCATCCATCGACGCCGGCTTTGTAGGTCGCAAAGCCTTCAAGATCCCTTGCTGCGCCAATAGATCCTTCACCCTCGTTTGCCATAATCCGAAGTTACCCTGACCATCGAATTTCGCGACTTCGAATTTTGCTCCTGACATCTGATACCAATTGTTGACGAAAACGGGTAAAGAAAACGAAAGAACACGAGAATTTTACGAGGTTCGGCAATGTGCTTACGTCCTCGGTGCCTAGGCGGCGCTAGAAGTTTTATTCAATGATATTTTAGGTCTATGTTACATCTCTATTTATAATAGAAAACCTTGGTACATAATTACAAAATCAACCCTGTACCGTACCGCGGGGGCTACGCCCCACACCCCCAACCCACATAATTCGTAACCCCACAACGAGACTTTTTATGAGCCATACATAACAGTATGTAATAAGAAAATAGTCTGGTGTACCAACATTAAAAAAGGTTGGTATGTAATGCTCGTCCGCATAGCAATTGCGCCCCTCAAACTTTGGCTTCCAACAAGAGGAGATGCATGTCAGCTAAACGAGCAAATTAGTTTATTCTCATGACTCCGCAATAGAACAAACAAAATAGCTATGATGGGCAGAATACCTTGCAATAAAGCCTAAATTTTGTGTAATACTGGGTGTCAGCCATAACTATTATAGCATGCTGCCGTTTCATGGAGAATCACTGAAATTAAATATGCACCAAAACCAGGTATATGCATGAGAAACGCCAGTTTCATGATTTATTTTTGTTGCAAAAATACAAAAACCTAACACTTTTGAACCATTTATCTGCTCGGGATATAATAAACTAAACATGCAGAAAATCACTATATATACATAGGAAGGGAAATATGGCACTAGAATTACAGACTTTGTTCTAACAGATGCTGACAGGGTGTCATTTTGCACGTCAAAATAAAATCATTCTTTTCGAATAAAATAAAGGAAAGTATAGTATAGAAGAAGTAATGGTCGATCCCACAGATACTAAGGAACCTGATGAAATTCTTAGCTTTTGATTTTGACCTTTGGTGGCGTGAATTTAAGTAAAATAAATAAAATGGGGATTTTGTAGTTGAAGAATAAAAACAAGAAAAAAAAGGAGATTTAAAGGAAATAAAAGAATGTAGATAAAGGAAGGTGAAAACTCAATTGATTAAATCAGCCTTAGGCATTCGCTCTAACTCAAATTCTTCGGATCATCGAAATAGATTTACCCTTCGAGATTCACGTTAGTTACTTTACTTTGTCTACAATGACAGATCCTTCGACTAACTTGTATTCCAAATACCCAAGTGCAACTCTTAGATATCGGATTTGAAAATTGATTTAATCAACATTAATTGTTGTAGATCAAGAACTGCTTAAACGCATAAAAACCGACTTGGATAGTTGTTTCCATACAAACCGTTTCCGATCTCAATTCTCACTTTAGCAATAATTTGCTAGTTGTGTTCCCAGGAAGTTCATTTGCTAGCAATTAGCTATTCTTTCTTCTCACATGTTTAATCGCAACAACATTCCGACCATCGACTATCTTAGGTTTTGAAAAATTGTTTTGATTTGAAATAAGAACAAAAGAAATTGAGAAATGTATCCGAAGTTACTTAGGTGCTTTTCAATTCTCACATTAGAATTGAGTCGTCGCTTAGCCCTCGGTTTAGAAGAAAATTAGCTCAGCATGACCAAAGTCATACTTGACATTTTAAAAACAAAGCTTAAAAGAAAATAACAAAGAAATAAATTTTATAAAAAGAAAAAAAATAAAGAAATGTTTTATTATTTGAGATATGAAAAATGGCTTATCTGAGGTGGGTATTTATAGCCTTCTAAAACCCTAAAAATACTAAAGATAATCCTAAGAAAATACAAAAGATAATTCTAAAAATAATTTGAATTTAATTCTAAAAGATAAATCATAAATCTTGAATTTGAATGTGTTTGAAATGCTCAGTCGTCCACTCATCTTTTAGAAGCATGCTGACTGGACGTTGATTGGATGTTGACTGGGCGTTTCTGGAAGCTGTTGACGTGACAGTGAGTCAGAGTTTTATGCCCATTGTTCCAGACTTGATTCAAGAATAAAAATTGCAATTTTTAGACTTTTTTGCACATTTTTCAGCAATGATCATCCTACACTAAAAACATGTAACTCAGTAGTAAAAATGAACAAATAAATAACATTTAAGCACGAAAAGTAACACAAAATAAACATTAGTCAGATGCCAACTAGAGAGACTGCAGCCATTGCCACACATCTAGGGCTTTAGAAAATTACTGCATAAGTTGTAACAAGATCAAAGCCATGTTTCTACAGTAAAAGGATTAACCTGTGAAGCTTATCTGAAAGCGGTCATTTCAATTTCCAGCATGTACGTAAACAGAGAACCTGCCCTCATGGCCCTGTAGCAAAAGATCAAACTATGTGATTTGTGATAAAATTTGAAGTTCTAGAGGAAGGAAATATACCATCTTTTAAGAAATATATGAATTTGCCATTGAAACAGTAACGATTTATTTTTTCAAGGCCACAGAGATCAAAACTTTCTATCAAGAATTCCTAATTTCAAACTGTTTCTCAACTAATTTAATCTGAAAACAAGCTATTAAAGTGTGCATCAGTCCCAAGAAAAGGTATTTATCAACATTTTCATTTAATTTGTTTCCTTCTGGAAACATTTAAAGGAAAGACAGATTGTAGGTCAGCTTGCATATTTAAAAAGCCTAAAAATAGAGTTGAAAACTATTGTTCTGCAAGCATCTAAAGCTCTCTTCAAAACAGATACTGGTGGATGAATCAACGATTAGAACAAAACATCTAAGCAACCACATAGAATTTAACAGAAGCGATGGCAGTACTTGCAAAACAAAAGTTGAATAACTGATGCAAAATCAAGTAAAAGGAAATGATGACCAAGGAACAAAGTCTTACACGAAAGAACTTATCCCACAGTGGCTCGAAAGGTAGTGTCCCCCGAGTCAAATACAGGAAAGCAATTTTTGAATTCTTTGATTGCGTAGGAGGTGAGTTTAGGATATCCCTAATTACAACCTGAGACATTGTCTCTTTATCACTTAATTCCCTAGAACGAAATGGTGGCTGGGGGTACAAAGAACAATCTCCGGATGAAAAGATATAGCAGGCTGTTGAACTTGATAGAGGAAAGATACAAGGCACTAATCAATAATATGATCACAAAAGTTACCAATATATAATCCACAGTGGCCTCTTCAGATCCGATCGCTTTCTTAAACCAGACCTGACAAGCATATCTTTTACACTTTGCTGCCATGCACGGAACATGTCAGAATCTGAAAGTACCACCCAGTTACCTTATCTGACCATCTTCATTGTTGAGTGCAAGGACCATTACTATATTCTGATAAGGTTATTAGACTCGGACGCTATAATCTAAAATTAGGAAATAAAATGAGCATCAAAGCCAATGGATACAGGCATTGTAAAAAGCCTTACAAAGCAAAAGGACGATACTTAAAAATTCATGATAACCATCAGAAATATCGAAAACATTGTTGAAAAAATTAATAGAGTTTCAGCTTGTGAAACATAATTCCAACAATCTACAATACGGCTACAGAGATTGTACTAAGAGCCAAACACAGAAGATTTGAGTTGACATTATAACCGATAATTGAAATATCAATATATGTTAGGCTTTTGAAGCATACGTGTGATACATTGAATCCTACAAGCATTGTTTATCAGCCGATTTTTTAAAATTTGACATTACCTAAAACAAAAAGGCTGATAGGAAATTCAGATTTGCACTTGCGATTGAAATGCGACTTCAATCAATACTCAGATGGAGCCTTTTTTCAAAAAAAGAAAAGCCAGAATGAGAAATTATGAAGGAAAAGAATAAAACTCGTATTGGAAAAGGCATAACAAAAGAAAAACAGGGGAGCAAGAATGCAATTGATACTGCAGAAAGATGAAGAATGAAATCAACGAAGACCTGCCTGGCTCTGTCTGCACCTGAAAACTGTATTTTGGAATTCGGAAAATGCAGAGAGAACGGATCAGCGAGTGAATGGAGAGATCCAGTAGCAGCTAGCAAACGCCAATTGTCAAATAGCTGTGTTCTTAGTGGTATTTGTGGGGACCGTTTCTTCTGTTTTGCTTGTTCAATGTATTTATTCAGTGTAAAGAGGTAAGTATAACGTAACGCTGTGCATTTATGTCTCTGTATGGACATGTAAATATGCACCTTTTTTTGTTCTCTATTAATTAAGGCAATGGCCTGTTTTGCTATTATCAACCCTAGCTCCCCACCACCTCCTTTGTCCATTCAACTTCTCTTTGAGAACCATTCAAACCTTGGATTTCCCATTTCCCATCTCTCTTGGATCAACCTATTCTCATTTCCCAGTTTTACCCTATACATTTCACTCCGATTTCTCTTCCAATAACATTATTATAGCAATATATATATATATATATATATATATATATATAGAGAGAGAGAGAGAGAGAGAGAGAGAGAGAGAGATGTAAATGTCCAGCTTTTCTGATTTCTTTACACAATTGTTTACGGGTTTTTGGACGTATGCATACGAATAATAATTATATTAATATTGGGATATATTATTTTCTAAGTGTTAACTGTATCAATTATCAAATATTCTTATTTGTCAAAATTAATTATCAAATATTCTTAAATTATAATCTAGATTTTAAATTGGTCCAAAACTTCAAGATAATTATCGATATTGTTTAGACACTTCAACAATATACATGAAAATAGAAGGAAAAAAATTACAACAATTGGTTCAATGTTAATCCTAAAAATGATTACGATTTTTCGTTTTTTTAATCTCTCTAATGAGAAGAAATCAGGAAGGAAAAAAAACATCAATCCTTTGACACAAACTACATCTACATCCCCATGGATGTCTCAAAGTATTTTAAGTTCTGAAACAGAGATGAGTTATTTCATTTGAGAATATCCATAAGAATAAAAACGAGATGAAATGAAATTAACATAAATAAAATACACAACTACAACAACCATGGACCTCAAGTTTTCAACTATGTAGCGTGACTAGGGTTCTTAAACTATTTGTTTTTCATATTTCTCCCACCCACAAAAAATAATAAAACAAGGGATCTTGTGGGGTAATAAGAGATTTGTCACTTCCAATGACAAAGCCCTGTCCAACATTGATAACCTAGACCCTCTAAAAACAACACGTTCAGCTAGCCTGCAAAAATATAAAGACAAATTATTTAGCATACCAATTTGCAGATCGATATAGAACGAGATGAAATGTTCCTCAAGGTGGTATACACAGCAGATCTCCAAATGGAAGATTTAAAATTTACATTTTCAATACCAGCCTCTTCTATCAAAGTTTTCCCTGATCTTTGGTTTATGCAATTGCAGAAGCATACCTCTAATATTTCCAACATTAAAGAGACCAAAACACAAACGCATGCAGTCTACTTGTCCGTGTGCCCCCTTTTGCCCTTGCGACGACCATGGGTTGTATGAGCATGTCGAGCATGCTTCTTTTCCTTTTTGCTACAAAAATGAAAGTTTTTGCCATAAAAATGAAAGTTTTTGCCATGGTGAAGAGGACATTGGCAGCAAACTACAGCAGTCTTATAAGAACAACATAAGACTACATAGATAATTAAGAAACTGACCAGAAAACGGTTGAAAATATTCTGAACAAAATAGTAATAGGTAGAGCCAATAGAGCAGATGCCTGATATCAAAAGAACGGTAAGTTATGTGTTTGTGCATAAGAACAGATTAGATAACTTGATTTCAGTTGACAATAATTGGAAAAGGTATGCTACACAACCAATATACATATCGCAAACCACTCGAGCTCTTTGGTTGCAAGAGGCCTGGTCAGCTCATGCTTCTTCAAAGTCTCTTGCACAGAAGCTTGAACCTAATATTAGAGGCAGCAATAGTTCAATAGTCAAAGGTAGCAAAGCAACAAAAATCCAAAAACACTAATACCGGATTCCAAGAAAATAAAGTTCTGCAACATCTATAAGTAATTTATATGCTTTACCCTACCGGAAGAAACTCCGGTTGAACCACATTCTATGCAGTGCAGCAAAACATAACAAGCCAAAAATGTTGGGAGACTATTACACCAAAGCCAAGCAAATATTTTAAAGTTCATTTACCAGTAAGGAACACTTAACTAATTTTCTGGTAATGCAAAAACCAGTATAGTGCAATTCTTAATCCTCTAAAATGTAAGAGGAAAATGATCAAGACAACTTTTCCGATGCAACATCAACAAAAGTTGGGAGACTATTACACCAAAGCCAAGCAAATAATTTAAAGTTCATTTACCAGTAAAGGAAGACTTAAACTAATTATCTAGTAATGCAAAAAAAAGTATAGTGCAATTCTTAATCCTCTAAAATGTGAAGAAGAAAATTATCAAGCCAACTTTACTAAGACAACATAACAAAACAACTGAATATTAAACATAGATACCCTTGCCGGATTGTTTTCAACAATAGTTCACAAAGAGACACCAAAAAATAACTAAAAGTTATAGATACCTGTTGATGGTATGTTGTTGCTGATTCCAAAAATGTCCCATAAGCATTAACTACCTGATCAATATATGGCTTACTGAACTTCTTTGTTTCCTGTGATCAAGAAAAATGTGCTTTAGGACATGCATGTAAACATGGACGAAAAGACATGGTGGAGCATCTCATACCTGGAAGTAAGGATCAACTATTTCTTGAACTTTGACAACATGAGGAGTTACTGCAGTCTTTGATGCCTCATAAACTTCAACAGTTTTTGTTTTTAGTGATCGCACATGTGGTTCAGCATGTGCAGTTACCACCACCCACTGATCCTTGATAGCTGGAACCCATTTCTTCAAGTGCAAAGATCAGGATCATAAAAATACACTAATGATTAGTAAGAAACTCATATAATCATACATAAGCTCCTGATTTGGTTTGGAAATAGCAGTTTTAAAAGAATCTTACAGTTTTAAATGTTTCCACGTGGGGTTCAGCCCACTTTTCAGCTAAGGCCTTTTTCTCCAGAGCCTGCATGTAATATGAACATTTAGTTGTAATAGTATGATGTACTTCATAATCTAATGCAGCACCTTGTTCTGATATTTGGCACGTAAAAGTTAAAAGTAGTACGATCTAAAAGGCACCATGTGGCTGTAAAGGATAATAAACCAATACCTTCTGCACCACCATATCCATGGCCGGTTTTCCACGCTCAGTCCAATGTGTCCTAATGAAGGCCTACAGCAAGAAAGCTTTTAGAATCATAAGAGAAAGATCTATAATATACAAAAAATAAAAATATTACTCTTATTTTACCTGACCATGGTTTAACTGCATAGCAAGCCAAGGTGGGAGCCATGCCCTGTGAACCTGATTGCAATCATTACTAGTTAGACTATTTAGTATTTAATACATGCTTATAGAATTCACTAACTGCATTACAGCTTTTGGTCTTTGTAGGTAAAATATCTGCAGTTAATAATCGATAACAGTCACATGCACACTATTTTGACCTAGTACAGATAAATTGATAAAATAAACATCATAATTCTAATTAAAATTTTCAATTTACAGTTCCAGACATTGAAGATAGCTCCAATAAAATAGAAACTTCAGATAAAAAAAGCCCATCAATATAAAGGCTGGAAGGTACAAACCAAATCTAAAGCAACAATTCCCTTCCTTAAAGCATTAATCCCTTCCAGAGAAACTTACAAAACAGAAGTTCACAACATTTACCAGTTCCTTTAGCTGAAGAAAGATTGCTTCAACCAGCAGATAGTATAAACAATTTATTGATTTCACTCAAAAAAATTTGATGAAAGAAATTTCAAAATAATTCCAAACAGATAGCATAGAATGATGAACTAAACAAAATACCTCCATCAGTTCATTTCCCTTTGAAGTGGCCTCAAGCTTTGTCTTAATCAATTCTTCCTATTAAAATAATAATAATCTAGTCAGAAAAATAGCTCCAGGACCATTGTCTAGCTCAGAGTATGACATTGCAACTAGTTAGCCATGAAATACCTCGGCAATTTTTAGAGCTCGCTCAGTTTTTGCTATTTTGTTCACCTGCTCCTTATTGATATTTTCAAGCTGTAAAATGAAGATAATTCCAAATGGGTTACGACATACTACATACAGCAAAATAAATGTATTCATATATGTGCCACTTTAAAAAAAAAGGATAGCAGAGCAAAACAACAAGACAATTGGAATTCCTCAAACTTCTAGCAAACCAATGAAAAAGAAAACTTACATTCTCTAGCTTCAAACTCAATTCATTCAACTTGTTCTCAGCTTTATTTACTCGGGCTTCCAAGGAATCTGCTTCCTTTAATTTTGCTTCTAATTCAGTTTTAAGTTTATCAACCTGGACAGCCAGAAGTACCATCAGAATGCTGAAAAGATATATATTTACCTGTAAATCTAGAAACATCTTTGACGAGCAACTACCTGTTTCTGCAATTCAAGTGCCTGCGCATGAGCTTTTCGCACTTGCTCATCAGCATCCGAGGTTCCCTTTTTCTGAGAAACAACAAAGTAAATATTTTAGAAGCCAAATCTCTTTTTCATCATCATACGAGTAATTTATAACCAAGAGAAAAAAAATTACAGAACTTCCAGACCTGAAGAGATGATAATTCAGTTTGCAACGATGCGATGCCGTGAGATTTGGCTTTAATAATTTTATCTTTCTCCTTTATTTTCCCGTCTTTGGTTTTCAGTTCTCGAATTTTCTCCTCGACATTTGATTCTTTGTAGAATAAAAAAAACAAATTGTAATTAATCAAAAAAGATTAACACAAAATCCGCATGTGAAAGCGATTTAACTTTCACCAATAAAAAAATTAAAAAATACAGAATGAAGCTTAAGCCGCTCTAACGGATATGAAGAAGTAGATAACCCAAAACTGAAAAATCGAATTCGTCACAACAGTTGGTACTAAAAGTATAAACAAGCTGAACTAATATGTACCAGTGGACATAAAGTAAAAAGGGTTTGAATCTGAGATAGGATCGAGTAGAGAAGATAACGATAAAAGTAAGCAAAACAGGTAATCACGACGATAAAAGAATCGAGAATAAGAACTCTAACCAAGAAGACGGATCTTAGACTTCAGTTGATCCAACTCCGCCTTCAGAGCAGAAGAACCGGCGTCGTCGGATTCAATCAGTGGTTCGGTTGAGACATCGGCTCTAATCTGGGTGAAAATTAGGGCCAAAAAGAGGGAGAAAATCAAGAGCCTAGAAGCTGTCATTCGCCCCGAAAACGCCGCGAAAAATAAACCCTAAAGATACACTCACAGCGGCAACTTCCTTCTTCGCCGGTACTAAATGTGGTGGGTTTCTCTCCTATTTTTTCCTATTTGTTTCTTGTTGGCTGTCGATAATTCCTATGGAGGATCAGATAATTATTGGTTCTGGAAGAATAAACAGGAAGAAGGAAAGAAAAGAAAAATCTTTTGCTATATCGATCTTGTCCATCTACATAAACGTGGCAATTGTTTTGTTATTTATTATTTGTACGTAATAAAAATAAGGGTTAATACTAAAATAATTATTTAAATTATATTTAAATTTTTGAATAAGTGTATAAACTGTTTTTTTGTCTTTTTCAGAGTCATAATGTAAACAAATATCCCTAACGTTTGACATTATATGTATTTATGTCCAAATCGTTTTTTTAACAGTTCTACCCACAACGTTTGATTATGAGGCATAAGTCTCCCGTTGGATGGAATCAGTCAGTCAACTGACAATCAACGGATCCATCCGACGTGACATTTCAATGTCATTATTTTTGCTTACGTTACATGTTCATATCATAGATGATGATGACGTGGCAAATCTACATAGACTAAATACTGACGTGGCACATACACGTGTGATGTCACGTCATCAGTTTTTTTAAAATTAATTAATAATAAATTATTTTTTATTAAATTAATATCAATCAATCAGATGTTGTCATGTGGCACATGAACTTTTTATTAAATTAAGAAAAGAGAGATTAAACCTTTACAAATTTTACAATCTATGAGATTTGAATTTGAGTCTAAAGGATGAAAGCATTGATACTTAACCATCAGGTCAAGTCACTTAGTTGTTATTGAATGACTAATAACAACATTTAAAGTATATTGTTGTCATCAAAACCACCATTAAAACAAGCACTTTTTTAAAAAAAATTATAGTTAAATTTAAATTGTTATAATTATATGAGTAAATTTAAATTATTCATAGGTCTTTTTAAATTTAAATTTATAAATCGATCTAGGGTCTTAATTAATTTAAAATTTATAAACTTTTAAAAAATTGTAAGTAAATTCATATGGGACTAAACCATAGGTCATTTATAAAGTTTATAAATTTAAAATTAATTATAATTCTAAATTTTAGTTTTTAAATTTTACTTTGATTCATCAACAACAATCTCCAATCTCCATTTATGTCTTTAGCAGTGATAGTGCTTATGGAAGATGTGAAAACAACCCTTTTCACAGTGTTGGATTTCAAGCAAGGTTTGAGGAGGTTTTCAGTGTCTTTGATTGCAGGGTAAATGATATTTGATCTAACATAGGATTCTTGGAAAAATCAAATGCTATGTTAGATTGATGAACTGTCGAAACGTGAATGAAAATGCTTTAAAGATAAAAAAAGAGCATAATTTACAAATATTCTCCTTCGAATTGACGTCGAATTTCATTGAAGCTGCCACATGAAATACACCATTGAAGATAAAATTTAAATTAATTTTAAATTTATAAACTTTAAAAAAACCTATGGTTTATCTCCAGATCAATTTTTATATGATTTTTTTTAAGTTTATAAATTTAAAATTAATTAAGACCCATATCAATTTATAAATTTAAATTTTAAAATACCTATGAATAATTTAAATTTACTCAAATAATTATAACAATTTAAATCTAACTATAATATTTTTTTAAAAATGATTGTGTTAATGGTGGTTTTGATGGCAACAATATACTTTAAATGTTGTTATTAGTCATTCAATAACAATCAAGTGACTTAGCGTGATGGTTAGGTATCAAGGCTTTCATCCTTTAGACCCAGATTTAATCCCTATTTTCTTAATTTAATAAAAAACTCATGTGCCACGTGGCAACATCTGATTGGTTGATATTAATTTAATAAAAAATAATTATTTATTATTAATTAATTTTAAAAAAATTGATGCCGTAGCATCACACGTGTACATGCCACGTCAGCATTTAGTTTACGTGGATCTGCTACGTCATCATCATCTACGATATGAACATGCCACGTAATCATCAATAACCACATGTGTATGACATGTCATCATCGATGACTACATGTACATGCCACGTCGTATGGACCCGTTGACCGTCAGTTGACTGGCGGATTCCATCCAACGGGGGGACTTATGCCTCGTAATCAAACGTTGTGGGTAGAACTTCTAAAAAAAACGATTTGGGCACAAATGCATATAGTGCCAAACGTTAGTGGTATTTATTTGCATTATGCCTTATTCAGATACCTAACTTTACAAATGTTACCTATTTAGGTGTCTGGACCATCAACGACGTTAATTTTCTCCGTAAAGTGACTTGTGTCATAATATAATATTTTAATATTTATTTTTAAAATATTATTATATTTATATAATAAAAACCTCTAATTTCTCTTAAATTATAAACAAGCCCTAAATACCTATAATCCCTCAATCATATCCTTAATCTGTCGCCACCCCCTTTCTGGCCACGACCACTACTACTGATGTAGTCTTTGCTATCCTCCTAGTCATATATTGTCATAGTTGTCGTCGATTAGTCATCGAGATTGCGATTTTCATCATAGGGTTTGTAGGGTATAAAATGTCGATTGGATCACGATTTTCATGGGGTTTTGGTCATCGAGGGAGATGAGGCATGGTGGAGCTTTATTGAAGGCAAATGATGACGACTGGTGTGGTTTTATGGGTTGAAATGAGAGTTTTCAAAGTTTTTGAGATTAATTCAAAATGTTTATGACTTTCTTTAAAATTATATAACTTTTTAATTTTAAAAAAATTAAATATCAAATTGTGACACGTATCAATTAATGGGAAAATTAACGTCGTTAATGGCCCAAACACCTAAATAGATAACGTTAGTAACATTAGGCACATAGATTAATCAAAAAATAATTTAAACGTCTATTCAATAATTTATATATATTGGGCACTTATTTTATTAATAACCCTAAAAGTTGTTGAGATTCGAATTGATAATAAAATTTGATATTTTGATAGGTGGTAGGTTGAAAGTGATTTTAGGCAGCGGTCCGTTCCCATAAAATAATGGTGGGCTTGGTTTAGGCTCGTAAAATTTTTTTTGTTAGGCTTAGTATAAAAATAAGTTTCTGAATTTTACATCAAAAAATATTTTAATATTTAAAGATTTTTTTTTGTTAAAATTATGTACCTAATGCTTTTATCAGAGTACTTTTAGCTGTCTCGACCGTAAGGCTGTTAAATTTGATCGTTAAGTGAAATGTGCCAAGTCTTGATAATTTTAATAATTTATTTTAAATTTAAAAAAATATATTTTAATTAAAAAACCACGTGCTCATTGTAGCCCCCGATTTCCCCCTTCTCTCTTCCAACTTCCCCTTTTTTTCCTCTTCTTTTCCCCTTTCACGGTAGTTGGTCGGTCGTATGTGATCATCACTGCCATTGTCGTTAGCACAGATATTAACTCTCGATCAAACCCCGATTGGCATTTCACCATAAGCTGCCACCGTTTGCCGTAAAGAAGCATTCGAAGGTTCGTCGCTACCGTTGTTTTTTTCATCGATTTCGACCAATCCCAACATCTTTAAGCCACACCAGCACTATCATTCGAGCCACTGTGTAATTGCGCTCAAAACTCATCCTCGTCGTCACTTCGTCGGTGCTCCTTTGGCGTTCTACGGTTGGTAATGGGTTGAAATAAAAGATTTTATTTTTATAGACTTTTTTGTAATTTCATTGAATTTCAGTTGTAAATAAATTATGTTTTTTTAATTTTCTTTCTTTTCTAATTAAAAAATAAAGTTCTTATTATTAAAAAAATTGATGGAAGTACCTAAAAATGTAATTGAGATAACGTTAGGCACCAAATTTTTAGCAAAATTTTTTTAGGCACTAAATCATTTTTTGAGGTAAAATTTAGGTCCCATGTCGCACACCTGGTTTTGGTGTGTGAGTCTCACGTCGAAGATTTTCTGCATACACAAATACTAGAACCTGAGATCTTACTTAAGATATATCAAACTGTTTATCACTTGAACTAACCTCGTTAGTTACATTAAGCCTTTTTATTATTAAACAAAAGTGATTTTAAAATAATATTGTTTTAAATACTCTTAATCACGTTAGTTATAAATATTTTTTCTATTAAGCTAAGGTGATTACGAAATAATATATATTTTAAATACTCTCAATCATTTAATAATGAACGTTTAATCACTCTGTTATAGCTATTAATACTCGAACTCATGATCTTTTAATTATTAAAACGAATTGGTTCGTATTAGATCTAAACCCTTGGGTTGCCATTTGCAGAATAAGTGCAAGGACAGATTCTAAAGAGTCTATGAAGCGAAACACATGGTGGCGTGTGAGAAGAAAAGAGCGTTGATATTTGTACAATTAAATAAGTTGAGTAAGGGGAAATGTTTTAACAAATTTTGATTAGGGGAACGAGGTAGTAAAGGTTTATTTATCGGAATATCATTATTTTAAAAAATAATTTTTAAATTTATAACACACATATAGTTTTATTTTTTAAAAAAAGTTTTTCCTTAAATTTCACCTTCATTTAATTTTTTTTTTATTGGCATGAGTTAATTTTTTTGTCAACTCAATTCTATTGATAAAAATATACTCTTCACCCGAAAATCAGATTTAATGAGTTTAAAATGATTACACCTAATTTAAAATCTAACTCGTATTTTGAGATAAAAACTTGTACCTGACTCTTCCCGAAATAAATATATATATAATTGTTATTTTTATTTGATAAACTAGGGATCTAATTGAAAGATAATATTGTAGAGAAAAATATTATCATAATTATCCTTAAATATAATATATAATTATATTATATTGTAGTCGAGTTAAATATTTTTTATCCTAAACTTAAGGCAGACCCACCCTAAACTCATAATCTAAAAGCTTGATTTGAACACAATTTTTGTATATATATATATATATATATATATATATTAACTAATAGGGTTGAGTCATGTCAGAACCCATCGTGCTTGAGTCATACACTCATCCCTAATTTAAACTATATGCTCCTCTAACATTGTAGAATACCTATGCTACTTAACTTTTTTTTTACAAAAAATGTCATATTTTTGTAATTTATTACTTTAACTTTACATTTTATTCAATTTAATTATTTGTTTGCAATTACTTATAAATTATTT